GTGGGTTAGAGCTGCTGCGTTTCAGGTTTTGGAGTGACCTGGTCTTGCAGCAGACACAGGGAAGCAAGACTTCAAGGGAAAACTGCTATCTAGGTGTCTGCAGCTCCTTCCTTTTCTACCACTCTAAAATAGATCTACACTACAACTAACAGCAGTATTTTTATGGAAAGGCGCTATTGAAAAAAAATTCACAGTTTACCTTCTGACTGACAAATAAGACCACTTTGGTTTCCTTCTTTGGGACAGTGGTGGGGTGGAGCGAGAAGAGAATCAGATGCTTGCTGTCGTTTCCCAGGTGCGTAGGCTGGCTAGTTCAGTTATACACTTCTACACCAGCAAACAGTGGTAAGGCAGGTTGGACTGTTTTCAAAACAGAAGCCCTTCACCACACGCATTGTGCCAGCAGCTGTCAATCCCTACTGGAGAGGGACGCGTCCCGTGCAGATAGGACCTTTAAATGCCAAGGTGTCTTGGCCGTGGCACATTGCTGATGCGTTCCTGACTTCATGGAGCATTACCCACACGCGTTCAGCACAAGTTTGCCTAAACGCTCAGGTACCGCACTGATGGAGACTACACAAAAGGCCACAGCGAACAACGGCTGCCTTGTTCAGGGATGCTGCTGGCAGACTTGTTGTGCAGTAACTCGGGACATGCTGCTCAAGCAGCACTCCGCAGCTGCGCGCTGGCCCAGCTGACTTCAGAGGCAGTATTATAAGGTGGAACGGGGTCTTTCAATGGACTGCATAACAAGATCAGGATGCATCGGCATACGCTGAGCAGATGCTAAAACAATTAGCAGCAATTTCCCTGCTTCGCCCTAGACAGCCAAACAGGGAAGGAGAGCGACTGACAGAGGCTGGGGACGCACAGCACAAAGCACGTTAACAGCACGAACTCGCTCCTCTGAGCATCTAGCTTACTGAAGTCCAGTAATTAATATGTCACGGTGCTCCCATCCGATGCCTCTTTGGACACTGCTGTATCCCCTTGGCCTGCATTTCCCCATGCATCCACAGGGGAGGAGCTCGGTGCCTCCTTCCCCCACTGAATCCTCTGCTACTCTAAAAGCTCTTTTTACCAAACTGCCCAGTTTTCTGCTGAAAACCAATGGGACAAGATAGATCAACTTAACATATCCCCTACTGCCACGCTGCAAAGTCTGCTAGGCTCAAGGGCTGAGAAGCAGCTGGTGCTTCAGCTACTAAGTGTTTCCTCCTTCAGACACAGGGAGCTACGGGGGGCTGTTTGAAGGTGCTCGGCTCTCTCGGTATGCCATAGGAAGCCCCACACACACACCATGGAGGTTGTGGTTGCTACGGTGACTTATGGTGGAAGTTTTCTTCAGTTCCTGAAAAAAGGAGACAGAAGGCCCAGGAAGCCAAAGGAATAACCACTCCTTTGCGGGGAGATTTTAGCGCCGCATATAGGTGGGGTTCGATGACACCCAAGCCCCTAAGATGCCAACTCTGAACTTGGTATCACCTCAGGCCGAGCAAGTTGTTCCTTCTGGATAGGCTCACATTTGCACCTTGCTGGCTATTTCTGTATCGTGGCCAGAATCACTCACGGGGTCTTTGCTGGCTCGGCTTTAGGGCTTGTGAGATGCCAGTCTTATTCCAGCAATTACCTTCATTGCAGCAGTCTCCAAGGGCTGTCTGAAGATGAAGCTCCTCCTTCAGAAAAAAAATGGTGTTTAATTGCAGCACATCTGGCATGTGAGGAATCTTCTTCCCCTGCAGACATATATTTTATGCACGAACAACTTGCGAGATGGGCAGTCCAGGGAGCAGAGTCCTCCCATCGCTCAGCTCAGACTATGGCCCAGCAGGTGGGCCAAGGAAGCACCGACCTCCTTCGCATCGCTCTTCCTCATAGGCTGCAGTACAGTGGGACTTTGACCAGATGCGGCCTATTTGCTCCATCCCTGGGCTCAGCTGCTAGGTGGCTGGATGCAAGGACTAGCTCAGCACGTAAAGTTTGGCATTAACGTGGCAGCAGCCGCTACTCCCCCATCCTTGCCGACGGCCCAAGGGAAAGCCACCAACTGGTGATGGGCTGCAGCACGGCCCCAGCACAACAGGCAACCAGAAGGAGCAATGCCCCCCCTTGGACAGTACCCAAATTCAACTTCATCCTCGGATATTTTGTCCCTCCCAAGCCTGCGGGGGGGGGACAAAGCCAGCAACCCCGTTCATTTCAATAGTGGATTTATGCTGCACCAGAATTCGTAGGTGCCACTCTGCGATGATTTGTATGCGTGCTGGCAGAGCGTTTCATAGAGGGATTTAAGTGAAGTGGCTGGCAAAATCCCAGGCGAATATTTAGTCAGGGTAAAAAAAAACATATAGAAACACAGCTTTTGAAGGCATCGCGCAGTAACTTTTGTTTCCATGGTAACTAATGTTTATGTTTATATCTATTCAGTGTGTTTGGAGCAGATTTTACTTCATGGAACAGCTGTTACAAGTCACTTCACCGAGACAGATGATCCTGATAAGGAGCAGAGTTTCCATTCTACACAAATGCACATTTATTTAATACAACCCAAATAACTCAAACCCGGAAAAGATCTGTCCTTCAAAAAAAAAAAAAACCGATCATCAACGCAGCAGCAGGATGCAAAGAGATCGAGAGCAGCCATGGAATAGCTGCTGCCTAATAAGAGGGTGATAAAAATACAATAAAAACAAACAAACAGAACAACTGGAAACGGACCAGTTGGAACAAATGGAAAGCACTAGTAGCTTTCGTAAATTCGGTCATGATCTTTTTACACTTGCGCTTTATCCACAAGTGCTAAGCCTGAAAATGACCTCCTGCAGGTGGTGATGGGCCCCGTCGACAAGGGGGCTGTTTGCGCGCGCAGCCGCCTGCCTCCTCCGTCTGGCTGCACCGTCTCCAACATCTGAAGATGAGGAGGAGAGGCTGGAGGAGTTGAAGACAAGCTAAATTGCATTCAGACCTAATAATCTTCATTCCTCAAGTATCCCATTACCGTAGCTTTTACGTAGCGAGCGACAATTTCCATTTCAAACTTGAACACGGAAAAAAAGTCAAAAAGGATGGTTCGTGTTTACCATCTTGGAACAGTTTGAGGCATATTTTATCCTCTTCGTTAGCGTACTCTAAGGCCACGGGCTTGCAGCATGAGCCCTCTGGCTGGATCAAGCCTTGGATTAAGCCTCTACAGAAGCTTTGGGGGAATCTGCAGCTTTCTCTGGACTGATCTTGTATTAACAGAGGAAAGCTGGTGCCACAGTGGCCTCCTGCATCTTACCCGCTTTCATTATCACTGCAGTAAATCTGAAGGGGTTTGTTTGTTTTTTTTTTTGTTCTTTTCTGCTGGTATTTAGTTTGCCGTTTAACTTCAGCTCAGGACCTTGCCCTACCTGCAGCCATTACCTAAGCAACCCCTTTCCTCCCTGCTGCATTGCCAGCTCATCGTCCCTCGTCAACCCCTTTAAACCTTGGCTCCGTGCGTCCAATTCACACGGATCCGGCCCTCCAAGCCGCTCGGCAGAAGTCTCTTCCTCCCACCCCAGCGTTTCTAATGCGTTTACTTATTTCCTAGTGCAAAGAGCAAGGCAAGGCCCTGCAGCGGGCCCTCTGTGGTTTCCACCGCTGGTGCCTGCAGAGCATTTGGAGACAGGTCACCTCCTTTCAGCTCTCATGCTGGCATTGTGCTGTTGCCTGTCTCCCTCCTGTGGTTGGGTTACGCCATACGAAGCGGCAGGTCCTTGGTCAAGATCTAAAAAAAAACAGCTTGCTTTTAGACACAAAGCTCCTGGGCTTGGTCTACCAGAAACCTGGCAGTCATGGTTGAGCTCAAGTCCAGTCTAAAAATACATGGCTTAATACTGATCACACAGGACCGGCAGTGCCCCCACACTGATGCAAGCGCAGAGCAGAGGCTCTGCGGAATGAGGACCTACTTCCACAGGCTGATGCTCCAGGCCCTGCAAACCGGTTTTCCAGCTTTCTCTGTGCTTGCATAGACCCTCACCAAAATCCATACATCCTAACCAGGAAACAAGAGTTCCTCCACGCAAAGCGAGTCACCAAGCCAGGGCCTAAACCCGCAGCAGTCGCCTGCTGAAACAACGCATCCTGCTCTCCGAGCACTTCTTACCACGCATAGCGGAAGTGTACAAGAATAGGCAAAAAGTATGAAGTTTCTTATCATTTTAATCACCTCTAAAGTCCTGGCTCATACACTGCAGAACCAGAAACCTAAGGACATTATTTTCATTATTAGTCACCTCCTCCTCCTTAATTTGGAAGCTTCCTGCCAGTAATTGAAATTCCTGCGCTGCAAAAGCAAGAGTCTTATCTTTCTTAATTTGACTAAACAAAGCAGTAGATGAGACTTGACTCTAGTTTAGAGTCGCTAAATATTTTTCCCTGCTTTTAGAAACATTTATTGCATTTCGCATTGCACAAACTGCTTCAGCCTCCTGCCGACTGCAGGAACACATTGAATTATTTTAATCAGAAACAAGAATTATGATGAAAGCAACTGTACTGTGGCACAACAGGAAACCTGGTCTTTCAGAACAACGATCCACGCTTTCCCCTTCTCCCTTTGTGAATATCAAGCAAACTCTAAAAATAAAGTCAGACATACAAAGTTATCCTACCGTCAGCGCCTGAAAACTTTTCAGTTAAGCATCTGTCTGCTTCCATCATGCATCTTAATCTCCCAGGTGCTCTGTCTTAGCTCTTTCCTACTGCACCAGGCTGAAGTTTGGCGTGCACGCTACAGCCGGCACCCTAACCGTTTGCCTAATGGCACTCTTGATATTCCTGGAGCCAAAACAGCACAGGCAGGATGTATTTCTTAGTCTGTCAGACCTGCCGATTCAAACATACTGAGCACCTGCAGCTCCTATGGATTTCGGTCGAAACCAGTGTCATCTTCAGCACTTCACACAACCAGGCTGTGTGCTCTGCCAGCCTCGCTTGAGATTCATCCTTCCTTGAAGGATTTGAGATGCAAAAGCTGCCTTTTTTTGCTATGTGCTACTGCGGTGCTGGAGTGAACGGCTGGCAGCAAAGTCCCTGCTGATGCAGGGCAGCAGGCAACAGGGAGCAGACTGGGGCGTAATGCCCAAACGCGTTTTTCCCCCCATTCGATGCTTCAGCGGTCTCTGATGCCTTCTGCACCTCCTTGCAGACTAATACCTCAACAGGTCTGTCCTCTCTCTCTCCCCTTTTCTCCTCCCCAGCTTCGCTCCTGCCACCTCAGCACAGATCAGTCCCAGAGCAGCAGAATCACAGAATCGTTGAGGTTGGAATGGACCTCTGGAGATCATCTAGTCCAACCCCCCTGCTCAAGCAGGCTCCTCTAGAGCATATTGCCCAGGACCACGTCCAGGCGGGCTTTGAATATCTCCAGCGAAGGAGACTCCACTACCTCTCTGGGCAACCTGTGCCAGTGCTCTGTCACCCTCACAGTCAAGAAGTCTTTTCTCAGGTTTAGGTGGAACTTCCTGTGGTTCAGTTTCTGCCCGTTGCCTCTTGGAGCAGGCTCCAACGGCACCATTCAAGTCATCCTGTATTCCCAGTTCTGCACTGGGTAAAGAAAAACGCAAAGCATTTCCCCAGAGACTCCTCTCTCGCCAACCTGGTCAAGGGAAACCCGAGGGCTACAAGGACGGCTCGGCCATTTCCTTCGCCACTGCTCACTTTTGTCTTTTCAAGCCCCGCACCAAGTTTTTAATCACAGGCCTTTTCCTCAGCAACACAACCATCAGTAATGAAAACTCTCCAAGCAGTTGTTCCAGCCCCAGGGAATAACATTTTGTTTGTTTTTCCCCTCCTGGAAAATAGAGATATTTAAAAGCTACTCTAGCAAGGACTAGGCGCACACACACACATATATAATCTCCCCTATCAGGCTGCTGGCCCATGCAACTAGGGCTGTCACTCCGCACTTGGTACGCGTGATCCCTGCGGTTTCTGCCCGTTTGTAAAGCTGGAAACAAGGCAATGAGATTCAAAACAATTTTCCTTCTCAGAGAACCAGCAAGACTATTTGGTTTTTAATACTAGTGAATTTAGGAGCATATGCACGGGGGGGAAGGGCAGTGGCAGCGCTCGTAACGCCTAGTTGTACTACAAGCGCGCGTGGCAACAAAGATCTCCCATCCTACTTCTCCTCATTCAGAGACGGCAGCATTTCGTTGAACTAGCCAGACTGGATAAAGACACGACCACGGATGCTTGAGATGAGCTGCTGGGATGGACGATCCGTCCTGAGAGCCCTCGGGAAACCTCAATAGGGCTCATCTCCCGCGCTCCAGAGATGCCAGCAGGACAAACCAGCAACGAAGACATCGGTTTCTTGCTCCTTTTTACATCTCTTGCTCACAAGCAGGGCGTTTGGTAGATGCCGACATGATCTAAGGAGTGTTGTAGGGCCCAGGTGGTGGGACATGCCGCACCAGTGCCTTTGGGTCCCTGCAACTCTCGAGTACTTGGTTTGGCTGCTTCCTGTCAACCCACCACAGAAAAAGGGCCCATCCCCAAAATTCAGATTCCGATCTCCTCTGGGATTCCCAAATATTTTCTGCCAAAATTGTGATTTGGGAGATCACCCTCAAGCCCATCCCCGAAGCAGCATGCTCATTGCTGCGTTCCCCCGGCCCAGCAAGCCAGC